GAGACGAAAACAATCCTGTTTTTCTTCCGGTGTCATTTGTAAAAAATCGAAAAATAATTGTTGCATTTGAAGAAAACCAACATTATTTGCTTCATCCAACGTCGATGTTGTAGTTAACGAGAATGGTCCTTGAGTTGTAGATGAACAAGATGCTGATGAGGATGTTGGCCCCTGCTGATTCAATAGAGATGAGAGTGCTAATGGTACTGATGACTGGCGATTCAGCGACACGAAGCTGTTTGCATTAGATGATGATGGTGCAGTTGCTCGTGATTCTTTCTGTTGCTGGGTTTGACTCTACAATAGAAATGCCATACAAAAATATGAGCGAGAAACTCGATCTGGTTTCTACTTGTTTCCATTGTTCTTTTTTCATGTTACTCCATGTTGGCACTGGAAAGAAACCTATCTGACCAGCACCACTAGAAAAAAATGATGAGCTTGCTGATATTGCGTAATTTATTGTATCATCGGATGCAGAAACTTGTACAATGTTGCCAGCTTCCAAATGTTGATGAATAACAAGTTTAAGATCAGCTTCGTATTTGAAATATTCGGGAACTAATTGTGCACAATTGTAAAAATGTTGAATACCCAATGGACTCAGTGACATTGAATCTGATGTTGACGACAATTTGTACACATTTTCATATTCAGTTATATCAACCTTAAATTTTCCTAGTTTACGAATAAATTCCTCTCGTTGTGGTTGTGTTGTCGGAGGAGGCGCTTTCCAGAATGTGTCTCTTGCTCTGTGTAGTGAATCCAAACAAAATTTGTCAACCGCAATTAATTCCAATTTTTTCAATTCAACAATTGCATGATCAAATTGATATCGACGATTTTTGAATATACCCCTATAAATAAAATAAAAGAGAAAACGATTACAAAATGTATAATCGTGACTGTGACCTTCTTTTTCCTATTCTCTAGTAGAAATCATAAAATAGAAAAAGAACAACCAATGTGAGAAGCGAAAACTGGATGAAAAAAAAGACGGAGAGAGAGAGAGCTAACGAAGCAGTACGAAAAGAAAAATTATTTAAAATATTCGTTTTTTCTTCGCTCAAGTAAAATTAGTGGAATTACATACTTTTTACACAACAATGTCTTACTTTTCTTCATCATCTTCCACACAACGTAGATAGATACAGGTAGACTTTGAATCTGAGGTAGAAAATATCAAACTGCTACTTACGTAGTTTTTGTTATTGGATTAGTTCCAGTCATTGCACTAAGATGAAACAAATTTTGTGGATATAATAATATTCGTTCTTCAGGTGTACAATTTTTTATTGTATCGGATGATTTTACAGATGGAATTTCCCGTATTGTGAATAATGTTTCCGCCACATTCATCAAATGTTTATAAAGAACATAAACACGTTCCACCGTTTCTTTATGAA